ACAGTAAATGTGTCAGTTGATTAATTATATCAGTATCCTCGCTTACGTTTCATGGTGAAATACCCACCTGTACCTAGCCTGTAATCTTTGAGAGACAGTTTTGTATTCCTGTTTTTTCCTTCTGAGAACCTCTAATTACAGATGAATGCTGCAAGCATGTTTTATTCCCTTTCAAAAGGTTATTCTCTGAGTGAATTCTAGTGTTCAGTTGTGTATTTTCATTCAGAAGTGTGGCAGCAAAGCTAGTTTGATTAGTGTTAACAGGTCAAAATGCTGTTTAAAGCATATCATCAGAGCTCATATACTGTACCAAAGTATGTACAGTACCATTCCCTCCCCACTTCATTTTTTTCTCAGGTTTTCAGATTTTTTTTTCTTTTGGTATTAGAGTCCAGGGAACATGTTCAGCTTTCAGGACCAGGTTTAAACAAAGTTTTCTGTGAAGGTGCTGAATAATGGCTTGGTGTCCCTGTGGAAAACCCTTGTAGCCCTTGTGCTGTGGAGGCTGAGCAAGGCGTTTGGCTGAGGGTTTTCACACTGTAATAGTGTGCCTCATGCTTGGGGTGCTCAGAGTGGTTGGGCTAATCTGTCAGTATAGTGTGTACTTGTGGATAAATATAGTACCGTAACTATGCCAGTGTGCATGTTGTACCTCGTCACACTGTGGTGCCTCAGCTAAAAATTCTTCCCTGACCTTCACTCTTGGAAGACATAGGCTGATCACAAGGCAAAGTGAGCTACGGCACCAGCCTGTTACTTTAACAGAGGTTTGCATTGGCCGTGCTTATACAAGAATGCTCAGAGCTTTCTTGCTAAGATACAAATGGATTTCCTAAAGAAAAGGCTAACGGCAATTGAGGAGGAAGACCGTATGGAACAGTAGTGCTTGGGACTTATTGGATACTGTATCAAATGGAGGTTACTGCAGCCTGTTGGAGCAAGGCCAGTGTTATCAGCTTTATAAAAGGGCTGGGTAGGTACAGAGCTTGTGTTCTACACTATTCTCCCTCCTAACTGAGTGAGGGAGTTCACACTTTGGGGATTCCACAGAGGTTATATTGCAATATACTGTACCGTGGGGAACAGCTCTGTCTGCGCTCATTTGCTACAAATTTTGGTTAAATTCTGTAGAACAGCCCACGATGTTCTCATGTATTGCAGTGTGTTTATTTTGCAAGGATGGTATTTTTGGAATTCCCTGGTCTGTTTTCTGTTGTGGAGAGTCAAATGTGAAATAAGCCAGTTTATTTTTAGATTCGTTTCTGGTATTGTTTCCAGCGTAGGCTGTTAAATTAAGAAATTATAGTAGTATGAGGAACATAAATTAACTCAGAAGGTTTTCTGCATATTTGACATTCACGCAATGATGAGTTAAATGCAGTGCTGATTCAATGTTCTATTTTCTACATTTTTAAGAACTTTGAAAGGACCAGACTTCATTTGTGAAAGTTCCTCATCTACAACATATGATTTAAGATCAAATAAATTATTGTTTTCCTGTCTCACACAGAAATAAGAACAGCAAATTAAAAGATTAAATGAAATCAATTTATAGGCCAAATTAAAAGCAATAAGGTCTAGATATTTATTAGTAAACTGTCTAGGTACTTTAATGTGTCTGATACTTTTAAACTACACTGAGTACCATTAAAAATAAAATGGTGTTTGGTCTAATACTTATTTGTGGTACTTTAAAGCCCCTAAGTTTATGTAAGGTTGGTTGTTTGTGTTACTAATGTAGCTTTTATTTATAACTACAGTAAAAGTAGACAAAATGTGTGAATAACAAGCAAGAGCAAGGTTAATTTTATTTTCTTTGTAATGAGTTCAGATTTCTGGTTAAAAAATCTGTATTTTTGTTATGTAGGTCTAGTTTGTTCAGATTTTGCGGAATTACACTTGGGATCTTTTAAGTCCATTTTTTACACACTGTAAATCATTGTTTACTGCCTTTCTTCGGCAGCGCCAAGGTGAATTCAGATGCGGAAAGTGAAAAGAGTTAACAGCCAAACCTTTGCAGGACTCGAACAAGTGCTTCATTTAGAAGACTTGAGCACATTTCTTCGCAGCGGAAGTTTGCTGCTACTTCTCATCCACTGAGTTTTACAAACTGTTGCAGCTATAACAAAATAAAGTTTATGCTGTACCTAGTGGCTTCTCAGAAACCAGAATTAATTCATTTTCTCATACTGCAGGTCGCTCTGAAAAGGATGGGTGTAGACAATAGAATAATTCCCTGATCCTTGAGGGCTGTAGTCCATTGTTTGTACAGATATTGTAAAATATAAGAACGGTTACTAACAAGAGGAAGCCACTCAGCCCATTGAGCCCATTTGCTTAGCAGCTTAAAGATAGTTAGCATTAGTACATTAGAATAGTAGTTATTCGTTTAAAATTCCATCTTCATCATAGGCAAGGTTTTAAATTAGTGCAGGTAACCGGGTGATTTTTTTCCACTGTGTTATTAAAGGCATGTAAGTAATAAACTAGAACTCTTTCTCGTTGTCAGTGTCAGTAATTATATATGGAAATTGGTGAGGTTGTAGAACGTCAGGAGATTAGCTGAACCAGAACGAGCGTGATATGACAAGTCATCCTAAACCCTTGGAATCGCTCACCTGCACAATAGGAGCCGCTGCTATCACTAGGGAAATTAAGACTTATTATTTGTCCCGAAGGTGATGATGTCACCTTCACTGCTGTCACAGAGGATTACAGTGGAAGGGCCATTAGCTGCCAGTGACAAAGCATAGGCAGGTCTAATAGAGGAATTCTTCTTGTTATAAGCAGAAATGCTATTCCTCATTTTGTAGAATAAGAATGACCAAATTTTAGATTTAACACCACAGCACAGTGAAGTGTTGGATGTAAATACATCCAGAAGACTGTAATCCTACTTTTAAAACATACTGCAAAATAATCACAGCTTTTGAGGTTCTGTGATCCAGTGTGCTTTAAATTGGGATTCGTTGCTGAGAAGTGGGTCTGATTGCCTTGGTCTCCAATGCTGCAAGTCCTATGGTTAACACAAAAGCCGTTTTCAGTAAACCAGATGTAAATTTGTAGCTTGTGTTGTTAGTTTTGTTTGTGTGAAATAAAAGCAAGTGCTAATCTGATAAATAAATTAAGAAAACTTGACTATTTTTCCTCTTTTCTGAACTTTCTAGGATATAGCATTGTCTTATTTTTCTGATTTTGGTTGTCAGATTTTATTACTATTATTACATTTTTTTTACGTTGCAGAAATCAGTCCCATAGTATCATTTTGTCATTTTAAGTAGAAAATAGAAACCAGTGGTAAAGTTGTAAGTTTGTTTTTCACTGCGACCCTTTACACTATAAAATGATAAATGGTTTGTTCTCGTCCATTTTTTAGGCTGTCTGGTTTGAATTCATATGATTGAGTATTGAACTAAAAAAGTGTTGAAGTTCAGCTTTGCACAGTGCGAAAACACACAAGCAGAGGTGCCAAAGGGAAAGTAGAAATCTAGCACTTGATTCACTTTTGCTTGGAGAGGGATTTATTCATATGCATAAGTGAAGATCCATCAGTTCAACTGTAAACTCACATGTAATTAGCTTTTAAAAATTCCAAATTGTTAATTAGTCACTCCACAACTTAAAAAAATATATTTTATCATACGCTCTTAACATATAAATGTTATTTATATCTTGTTTTATGTTTCAGACATTTAATTTCAGTTATTATACTGTATTTTTAAGCATCGAAGCACTGCATGGGTGGTATAGATTTCAGTGTCAGTATCTTATTTTATACCATAAACATTTAAAATGTATATTTATATTTATTGAGCTGTTTTAGCTTATTCTGTATTTTTAAACATTAGACAAATTTAAAATGGCCAATAACCATTTCAAGTTTTCAAAAATAGCTTAAGAGTATCTGTAGATATGTTCAGTTTCTATTTTTGTAACTGTAAGTAAAATACAAAAATTGTACCTTTTTGGCATGGTAAAGAGCAACTCAGCAGCTTATGCACAGGAAAGAGTAGAGGAATTTATTGCCATATGTACATTGGAAATGAACCTGATCAAATGGCTGTAGACTGTAAATACACTTAGAAAGCCAATGACATCTTCATTTTAAAGCAGAAAAAAGTGAATGACCAGCTAGTGCTTATTTCATTTTCTTGCCCAAACGGAGGTTAAGTCAAACAAGTAGACTAGTAGAGCAAACACTATCACTAATATCAGTGTGGTAACATAGACTATTTTGTAAATAAAAGGCTGATCTATGTTTTAGAAACTGGTAAGCAAACTGATTTGGAGCTATCTCAGATAATATAAAGAATAAAGAACTACCAAAACGTTGACATAAGACTGCTGAAGATTTAACTGTTGCCCAAATTGTAAGCCTAGTACATGATGAATGTTTTTGTTTAAAAGATTCTTTTTCATTGTGGCAAAAGAGAAAAGAGCTCAGCCATCAGCCAGTGGAAATGAGCTTTGGTTTGACTCAGATCTTGATGTGACAAGGAGCCTGCAAAAGTTACACATAGCTGAAATGCAAGCAGATCGCTCAGTGGCATAGATGTTTGCATTGTTTCCTTGCAGCGCTGGGGCCTAGAGTTCAATTTTTGAGGTGCTAGCTGCATGGAGCTTGTATCTTCTTCCCGTGGTCACGTGGGTGTCCTCTGGCTGCTCCAGGGTTTGCTCCTAAAATCTAAAAACATACTGGCAGGATAATTGGCGTCTGGGAAAGCTGGCCGTGGTGTGATTGTGTCTGTGTTCTTGCGTCTGTGCGTCTGACCTAAGATGGACTCCCACCTTGCTCCCGTTGCTTAACTGGACAGACTCCAGCTGCCCCCGTGACTCTGTATTGGATCAAGTGGTGATAAAAAAACATTTACAGTATGAATGAAATGCAAGCAATACAAATAGCAAAGTGAGATACAGAAAAGCCAAATAAACGGCGAACGCTAATATTTCCGTGTTTGTAGTGCAGCACTCACGGTGAATTTGTCTTTCTGTCCCGTTAGCCTCGCCGGTAGGTAACGGATACAGCAAGCCGCCCATTCCTCCAGCCTCCAGCACGCAGGGCGAGAAGGGACCTCCAGCCATGATGCCCATCAGCATCGACCCGGAGAGCAAGCCGGGAGAGTACATCCTCAAGAGCCTCTTCGCCAACTTCACCACGGTCTCCGAACGCAAGATCCGCATCATCATGGCCGAACCCCTGGTGAGCACGGGGCCGAATCAGACTTCTCAGTAGCCGCTGCTTTTCAGAATGACAGGACCACCCTGAGTATCTCTCAAATCTAGCCGATAGCTTACAAAGACTTATGGGTGCTTCTTTAAGTGCTTCTCCAAACCTAGTGAGTTTCTGTCATGAATCTTATTTTAATCTGTACAGAAAAACAAATTTCTTTCTTGTACAGCTCAATTCAACTTTCTGGCAAGCACGCATGTTAAAAATAAATGTAGAAGAAAGCAATATCAAGGTTATTAGGTTCCATAGCAGATACATCAGAAAACCCAGGAACCAAATGAGTACTGAGAAGTGATGCTAATACATTACAGGATTCACTGTCCTTTACAGTTGCTACTTATTTCTATTAAGAGAAATGCAGACTGAAGCAGAAAAAGAAAAAAATACATGTTCTATGGATTGAGAGGACACAAAATACCTTTATAATCAAAGGAAGGTTTGTGTTTAATAAGGCATAGCTGGAAATTAAGTGCCATGCTACAAGATTTGTTTTTTTGTGTAATTTTTTTGCCTGGGGTTGATAAGCTTTATACTAAAAGGGAAATTCTCTTGCAAAAGTGTTTCAGTTTCTGAGAAGTACTGTAATAACCTTAAGTTAAAACTTAACTAACCTTCTTGGAATGCTTTAGATTTATTGTATTACTTTCATGGATCATTGCCACATAATTTCAATAAAAAGAATAACTTAGTGATTAATAACACTTTTCTTTCACAAATGGTTAGACATCTGATTTATATCATGTATATTTAATAACTCTAAGATATCAGTCATAAACTGTTAGCTTCTAGTGCAGTTATTTTTTAAGGATTAGGGGTTTACTGTAAACTTTTCCCTGCATATAATTTTTTGACAGATGTTCAGGAGTAGTCAAAGGTTCAGGTGCCTTTGGGATACATTTAAAGAATATTTTTGCATTATTCTTAAAAACTGTTAAAAAAGATCCTGGCTAGACCAGCTCATTACATTTTACCTTGACTTAAACAATTCTGTTACTGTTTGAAATGTAACAGTTAAGGAAACAGTGGTTTATAATGACTTAATAAAGCATTTATTTATTTAATGGTTTATATGTTATGATGGATTGTAGACAGACAGTGTTACCAGTCAGTTTGTTAGTGTCACCTCTAAATTATGTTTTTAAATGCCGGGAGCACCCATCTTAACTATAGACTTTGCAAAAATGCAAAAAAGAAAAATTAAAATATTAATATATATTTAAATATTTGCTGGATTATCATCAGAACAATGACAGATGCTTCCTTATATTGACAGCAGACTTATACAACCTGTCAACCCACTGAGTCTCTCTTCATGTGCAGATACTGCCTTTGTTTTGCAAGTTAACCTTCTCGGCTTCAGAACATTTTCCTCAAAGGTGGATTTGCAACCAATTTGCAACCCATGATTTCAGATTTTTGGCTTGCTTTGCAGTACAGTCATGCAAGATAAGTCACTGCCATTTCTTTAAATGTGGTTTATATACTGTGTGTATACAGAATGTGTGTGAATTAAACAATTGCTTTGTAATATTTTGACTATAAATAACTATGGCTTGTAAGGGATATGTAGTCTGATTTTATGATTATAATCATACTCAGACATTTGTTAGATTTCATTGGATTGATTCATGCACAGGTGGAGTTTGAACAAGTGTAGGCCATAGTTTTTGTTTCCAAATTGCAGTTGTAGTGATACAGAACAAATGTGTTTTGAGCACAGGCTATTAAGTGTGACCCTCCATGTCAATTGGTCTGTGGTTTTTTCTCCGTTTGTGTGAAAACAGGACAGAGTGCCCAAAGTGTTCCAAACCCAATTCACCTATGTATGGAAAAAAATGGGATTAATTTCACTTCTTGTATCAGCTGACAAACTCCAAACCGACAGACTGGAAAGTGAAATACACCAGCCCTTGCTAGTCTCTTCAGTCTATTAAATCTTATTATAAGCTGCATACATCGAATCTTGAAGGCCAGTTTTTTTATTTTTATTTTGGTTTATTGTTCATTTTGCCATTCAATCTGTTAAATCAGTTTTATTTCAGAATATTTCTCATATAGCACCAGTATTGATTTCTGTTAAGAGAATGTTCACGATCAATTTGCTGTGTTCCTCATTCAGAAAGCTTGCAAAAGAACTACATAGAATCATGACTGATTTATTAGGTTATAAATAATCATAGAAAACACATTAGGCTGAAAGCCATTAATGAACTTCCACCAGGGATCAGCTGTTCAGCTGTTTGATGGTATCAGAATCACATGACAGCATTGACCATGAGCTATCTGTTCACTTTTTCATGTCCTATCACTTTACAGCTGCTCTCACGCCTGTTAAACCCCTAAAACCTTTAGGTCTTCACAGATACAGTCAACATAGAAATATTCTATACATTAATATCACTAGAATGCAGAACATGAAATTGACAATGAACAATCAATTTAGTTCCCATCGCTTGTATTCAGGTTTCTTCTTTTTGTCTTCAATTGGCTAATCTGTAGCAGGGATTTGTGATTGTGTAGGGCTGTATTGTTCTTTGATTTAGGAAGTTTAGAAAGAAAAAAATCATAATATACAGTAGCTTGGGTGATTAATGCATCATGGGGCATGGAATTTGTTAGGCTGTTTCTCAGATGTAAAGCAATCTTTTAATCTTTTAAAAATCAATATAAAAACAACTCTTGTTGGCACTCAGCACTTTATCATAAAGAGACATCTTAGCATTGTTTTTGTTCAGTCTGGAGTACCAGTTGTGCTGTGCCTAGTGTTTCATCATGAGGAGGCAGATTTGTTTTTCATTTGGTGGAAATAAACAGTCTAGATGAGACAGACATGAGACATGGAGAAATGCAAGAAACAAAATGTCACTTCATATTGATTTCTGGCTGCTAAGCAGGATAGATGTTCAGAGAATTTTTAAATTAAATTCTCTTAACAGTGTTTGTAATAAAGGGAGCAGTTGATTTAGATTTTGAATCTGCAGTTTGTGCAGGAAAACATAAAAAAGATAAGTAAAAGATTAATTTAGTTAAAATGTTTAACTACCAAACAATGAAGCCAACAACACTTGAGAGATGCAAACCCTATCCATTTGCCTGTGTGCACCCTTCCTTAAACTCCCTTCTTCCTTAAACATAGTAGAATACTAAAGAAACCTGTTTCCCTCCTTAATGACTGGGCTGTCTGCTGTGTTCAGGACAAGAAAAGGCTTGGTAGGCAACGAAACTGTAATGTTGCCTACTTGTTCTCAAGTTCAATTTAGCTGAAACTTCTGACTCCCTCCCTCCCCTGCAGCTGCTAACGATAAAGCAGGATTTGTGGAAGGGTTCAACATTTTGTTTAAAGTGTCAGTTAGTCTCGTAAGACCACTTGACCTGAAGGCTGCCGAGATGTTTTATTTAGTCTACTCAACCTTAAACTGTAAAGGTTTTCTAAGCCATTAAGATCCATTTCACCTAAAAATGCCAAACTTAGGCACTTTAGAAATGATGAAAAAATCATAATGTGACACATTTGTTTGCTATCATGATGCTTTATGGTAATGTTTTCAATTGGTAATGTACAGTCTTAGTGAGCAGAATGTAACGATGTGTGGTCCTGCAAGCTTCATATATTACTTGTAGAGTAGTACAAAGGTTTGTTCCTGTCTTTTGGGAAGGCCATGTTTTAGGTAGTTGGTTAGTTAGCTGTCACTGGAGACTGGTTGATTCAGTGAATGGGGGAGAGGACAAACTTAGGCACTAAAATCTGTGATGGGTGGTGTTGGTTGAATTCGGAAAGATCAGCCGTCAGCAAAGCGTCGCCACTACCCTATGAAAGAAGCATAAACCAATCAGACTGTGTCCTGTTCCTTCCTCCAGTGGAAACTAGGGGCTGTTCTGAGTCCAGGCTTTTAGCTTCTGATAGAAGCTTGAGAAGCTTGATAGTAGGGAGGGATCTCAGTCTGGGTGTGTTAAAGTATAAATGTTTATTTTGAAATTACAATGATGCAATTTTTCAATAAAAGAAACGCCTAAGAAACCATTGCTTTCCACAGGACAAAGTGTGCAAGGAAGAGGCCCATAAATTGGTATATTTCAATGCCAACCTTTATTATCCTATTCAAGCAGGTGTCTGGCCTCCTCTACAGCAAAGCATTTCCTGTTATGCAGACATATTTGTTTTGTGTTGCAAGGCATGAGGAAATGTTCCCTGAAGCATTTAGTACATTCTTGTGATGTGCTAGGAAAGTTCTCCCTGAGCCTGAAGAAGTCCCCTGTTACAATTAATCCAATAGTTGGAACTGTGACTAACAGACCATGTTGTACATATTTTGTCAATTTAATTGCATTTGAATGCTAAATTATTGTGGTTGCGGGGATTGATAGTTACTGCTATTGCATATTAAGGGTTTGCCAATTAAAACAGAAAAAAACTCTTACTTTACACTGCTTTGTGAGGATTCTAGATAGACAACAACTGTCTGTTTTGTTTGTCCCACACAAAGAATTGTTTGCCCAGAACTGCGCACACTTAAAAAATTAATGCTCTAGATATTGTTCTATCCAAATGATCGCTAAGAATATTAAGGTGGCCCTTTCCTTTATAAAAAAACCTTTCTAAAATATATACCTATTGTAAAGAATCTCAATAAAGTTATTGAATGTATTGTATCAGGTAACTTTATTTGAAAATGACACAGCATTTTGCAATGCTCTGTAACTCAAAAATGTCCTTAATCAATATTTTTCCAGCATTCTCTTAGGATGAAAGCTTTCTCATTTTTTGGAGTTGAAAATAAATCCCAAGAGAATATTGAGGAGTCAAAATTAAAAGCTATGCTTTTGCTGAGGGTGTGAAATACAGTTCAATTGATAGATCTGGGCTAGCATACAGTCACTGTAAGGAGACTGAGATGAAGACAAATGGCTTTGTTTCAATTATGCCACTGTATCGGACAATTCAAAGTCAAGTACACAGAACAGCTAGTTCTTTAAAATGTTGATACGTGCATTGGATAGAAATTTACCAATAGATTGTTAATAACAAGAAGTTTCAGATGAAAAGCTACATAAGTTTCAATTGTAACTGAGAAATGTTGAATTCTAGTTGCTGCTTCCAAACTCAAAAAGCATTGTAAATGCAGGTTTTTTATATTAATGAATTTGGTTGATGCTTGAAAAGCAACATCCATTTGTCCTAATGTATACAGCTGGACTTTTAACTGAAGCAATTTGAATGAAGCATGTCGCTTAAGGGTACAACACTAATGACCCACTTGGAATTCAAACCCACAGCTTCACAGTCATATGTTTGGAGCCCTAACAACTACTCCACTAGTGCCTCTCAAGGACAGCTTTATAAGTAAATAGGTATTTAATCACTGGTGATTACTGTTACAGCATTAATAGGATCTTGTGCATGCTACTGATTGTAGTACAAACTAATCCTGAAATATACTTTAATTCATGATTTATTTTTTATGTTATAAACTCAGAACTGACCCAGCAGTATGCAGGGCTAGGGACTTAAAATATTTTTCCAAACAACTGAAATAAGAGTTGGTTATTTTATGTAAATAGGTAATTTGTAATAAATTACAATTAATAGAGTTAACTAATAAAAGTTCATTTTAGAAACTGTTTTTAAAATCTATGTCTTGAATAGAACTGCAATTATTTCCTAGTGATATACAGTAAATTGTATATTTTCTGTAAAGTAATTTTATTGGTAGCTGTGTGACAATGCAACAGTAGCAGAACAAATTGGAAAGGTAGTTAGGAACATGTGCATAGTGACAAATTCAGGGTCACTCCATTTTCTGAATCCTATCGTTGAGTACATAAGCGTACTGGAACAATAATGCTTGGACAGATGACATTCCACTTATTCTAAACGGAAGACTTTCTTTTTTCACAGGAAAGTCCACTGACTTGGTTATTAGTTGTAATGCCTGTTACAGTATAACCAAATATATTGGGTTTTAAAACAATTCAAGTAATTAATTCTGAACTGTGGTCTTTGGTAATGATTACTTGCTAAAGTGCAGAACACTTCCTTTTACTAAAGACAGGTAGTTACAGTACATGACACCATTAATGTCATGCCACTTATGATACAGACTAACTGTGAAAGTGCTATGGGCGTTAGCTGTAGTCTGTCTTTTGCAACTTAATTTTCAACAGGTATTTGAAAAGTAATAGGTAACTTGATGGAAAAAAGGTTAGAGGTTAGCCAGAGATATTATTAGAAGTGAGAATGTTTTGCTATTTATTATGTGCTATATATTCTAATAATCACAATAATTTATATTTATTATTGATAATAAATTGAGCTTTAATGCCTGTGCTTCAGCTACATTTAAAAACATACAGCTGCACTTATGTATATTGCATGAGGAAGTTGAACTCTTTTACTGTTGACCACACTTTGATTACTCTGTTTTACAACACTATGGCCCAGAGTAGTCTCTTCTTTTGCCTCTTTAGTGTACAGTATATGGTAATATGCGAATTAGAGATTGGAATAAACTGGAGAAAGCTGTCAGATAAGCCAATAGATATATTGGCAATACCCAAATGACTGTTTTGGAGCTCTATAAAACTATTATGAAGGAAAACAGATAATGAGCAATGGAAGTTACACCCTTTATAGCAGCATTACATACAGTACTTTTTTAAGTGTACTGAATCATTGTACTATTATACGTACTCTCTTGTTGGAATATCATTTTGTTTTTATTGTATTTTTCTACTTCTATGCATGTGTTTTGTCTAAGCTTGTCTTTAAATTGGTGACGGTTGTGATGCAATATTGGCAAATGAATTTCCCAAGTTTGGAATAATAAAGGTTTTCTAATCTAATCTAATTCTAATAACATATTATATATAATATCTAACATTCTATGTTCTATTTATTATATATTGTTTTTTTTAGGAAAAACCATTGACAAAATCCCTGCAGAGAGGAGAGGATCCACAGTTTGACCAAGTAAGACTCAATTTACTTGAAGTAATCTTTGTGTTTTACTTAACATGACTGAACAGATCCCAAAACACAAGAGCTAAAGATGTGCAGAATTCGGTTGTAGGTGTTACATTTCCAAAGTTCACCTTTCAGCTTTAAGTGTTGTTTCATGCCTGAGATGATATTTTATTTTGCAATTATTATACTTTATTGACTAAACAAATTATGATACTTTTGGTGTTCTGGCTGAATTGCAAGAGTGATCAACAAATCCTCTTGTTGTTGTCTCTTTCCCTCAATAAAACCCAGTGTTAGAATACTGAGTAGTCAAACCACAATGGGCTTTTATACTTAGGCATTTGAGTTACAGCTCTAAGGAACAGGTTAGTGTTAGCTGTTTTATATGTCTAATATTAATTGCCCAATGTTCTAGCACTTTAACTATAAAATGAACTATTTCTGAAGCTTTACAGCCCTGGCTGGATCTGAGTCCAATCTGACATTTTTTCACTGTAAAAAATGTAATTTTCCATTTCTGCTAAATTTCACTGGCTGACAGATATACTCCCGAATCAGATTTGCAACAGAATGTGCATCCTGATTCATCCCTGTGTGTGTAGATCTCCCAGAGCAACCCTAGCTAACATAAAAATTGGGGAAATTTCCTTTCACAGACAGTTTGCCTCTTGGGTGAAAGTGAATCTCTTGCAATGGGCTAAATTTTAGCTTTCCAAATCAGTTCATCAGATAAGGGTGTCTACTTTTCTACTAAAAGGTTTGCTGTACATTTTAGAATCCCATTGCTTTTTCACATTTAAAGAGAGGAGCAAATATTGTTTCTTTACCTCATTGTCTGTGAATACAATAAAGAAATAATATTAAATTTCACCATCTAATGGTATACGGCTCAACAGATCCATTGACAGTGAATTAGTGTGTAGCCATTAATGTTACTAATCAGAATTAAACTGCTCTCTTGATATTCCTGAAAGAAGATTGGGGCAATATGTTTAAGGCTTTCACAAATACACATAGTGACTTTTAGTGACAGGTGGGGTAAGCATATGTGCTCTGTATGAATAAATGTTCATACTGTATGTACATATATATTTTAAAAAGCATACTTATAAGTCAATAGTTTGTGCACACAGAAAAGACCTTTTGAGACATGGCTAGAGCAAGGAGACCTGGTTTTAGAGACCTGATATGCTCTGGGTGTATGGAGCTCATTGATGAGAAAAGAAAATGATCATTCATGGCAGCAGGGGTGTATGTGTGCGTATGTCTGCTGCCTTTTCAGCTGCAGCACAGAGCCAGGATTCATCCCCTGTGCTGTGCAGAATGAAGGGTCCGCTGTTTGGAGCACGGTCTGGCCAGACTCCCCTCCCTTCCTGTTCGCTGCTCTGGATCCCTGTCTCTACCCACCCTTCCTTCCTGCCTTGACTTAAAGAACACACAGGCCACCTCATGAGCACCCTTCATAGTCATACTCACTGCTAGACCTTGTGGAGGGGACCTGAAGGCTTAACAGTTTCAGTATCCACAAAATGATTCTTCTGTCTGGCTGTGTTTGTACAGTACTGTATGTCTTCCTCTATGCACTTCTGTTACCTATCCAACTGTAAGTCTGACTGTTGCTGTTTTAGCCTCATGCCTGCAGCTGGCATAGCCCACAACGCTCTACATGTCTACATTTCTGTTGCTTCCTTCACTTGCCAAAGACTCACACATCTCTATTAAACTTAAATACTTCTGGTTCTGCAACATGTGCTTGCCAGTAGAAACCTGACTCAGTTTTTTAGTGAAGGAAGTAAGGACAAGTGAGTAAAATGAAAGCACAAAGTAAGCGTAGGTAGTCATACTAGCATGTTTACATTAAAGAGTGTTCTTTAAAAATTAATATCTCAGAAAGATTTCGTACCTCGTAAACATGGTAAAATTTAGGAAACACAGGCTTTTGAATTAGGAATTACAAGGATGATTAGGAGGATTTATTAACTGTTTAGAGTTCAGCCAAAGAGTCTATCCTAGCAAGCAATGGTAGCAAGGCAGGGTACCCCCTGGATAGGAAGCCAGTCTGTTGCAGGGCAGACACACACACACCAGGGTCAATTTTCCCAGAAGCCAATAGGCCTACCAGTATGTTTTTGGACAGTGGGAGGATACTGGAGCCATCTGTTTTACCCCAACATTGAATTTCTTGTGTTTGTTTTGTCTTGTTATGTAGCTCATCAGCACCATGAGTTCCCTGGCAGAATACTGTCTGCCTTCCATCCTGCGCACTTTGTTTGATTGGTATAAACGACAGAATGGACTAGAAGATGAGTCGCACGAATACAGACCAAGAGCCAACACTAAGTCTAAAAAGTAAGGTTTTCACCACTTATTTAATTTTATTTTTTAATTCAGGTAGGCTTTTTCCAAAACTCTTTAACATGACACAATATAAGGGCAGCACATGTTTTGCTGAGATCATTTTTATGTTAGAGTAGTTGTTATATTGAATGAGTTGGGAAGGCATGGGCTTTTAACATAAATCCTTTAATATTAAAACTACATCCAGCTATTGTGTCTGATTGATTATTTATTCTCCGTCCGGAGATTTTTAGCTGCAGAGGAACTGTTATCTTGATTCAATAGTAACATCATATCAAAGATGATTGTTGGGTGGTCCATGTCAATCACACTGTGAGCACATGATGCTGTTAGTCCAGGACTGGTTAAGAACTATGTTCAAGGCTTCATCTTTGATGGTATCGCTCAAAAAGACCCAAACATCCAACAGCTAACTAGTGAGGGCAGTTATTGGTTGGTGTCAGTTTCCTTAACGATATAGTTAACATTAGATAAATCCCAAAATACTGAATAACAGGGCAATTAAAATAAATATTTTCAAACACTTTCTTCCCTTAATATTGCCATCTAATTGAATATTGTTTTGAATGATTTCCGTGATTCAAATTATTAATTATCTAATAAACGTATTAAAAGATACATACTGAGTATCAGTAATATTCTGCATTACATTGTGCAGCGAACTCATTAGGTAAATCAGATAATGTATCTCAGTTTTACCTGAACCTGAAATGGGAGTAGTACATTATTTGGCAGTTCAGTGTTCCAAGCACATTTTACTTCATTCTCTGTGATTGTGATTCAGACACAAGAATATAATTTGGGTAACGGCCCATATTTTACACAGGTGTGTGGCCACGTTAATTTTAAACGTAATAACCACATATTTTTCACCTCTGCAATGCCTTTCTGCTGTTTTACTGTAGGTACCTACAGTATGTGTTGAGTATTTTTATTGATATATAAGACAAAAAAGTATTGTTTTAGAAAAAAGAAATATTAAATGATAAGTGAAAGCTATTATAATTTATTGATTAATTAAATATTCATACTTAGCCCTGTGAGAGTTATCAGGCCTGGGTGTATCACAATTTCTGTAGTGACAGCAGTGCAAAGAGTAATGGCTCTGCCCTAGATGGGACACGAACTGGGTGAACTGGAGCAATTGAAGTCAAAGGTGACTTGAACCCACAGACTCCTGGTTAGGAGGCCAAGCCTTAACCACTACTGTACAGTGTCCCACATTTATTGCTAAACATCTTTATTTGAACATATTTGGAATTTATACTATTTCTAATAATTTTGTAGGTCCTTTTTAGTATCTGCTCTCTTTTCCTTTGGTTCACATTAAAAGTTCAGCATTTTTCTATACAGTAGGTCTTTGCTGTACAGTAGGAAAGGATTGTAAGTAATAATGAAATACAATATATTTCTGTGATTTACCTTACTTATTCCTGATAAATGTTTATATCTTGTCTTTTTACTGGTAATGGTATTACCTTAGAATTTACAAATGCATATACAGTTCAGTGAGCTCTTAGCAAACAAAATCATTCCTCTGAAGTACCAACTTTACTGCATTATGGTGGTAATTCTTCCAAATTTCTTGTCTAGATATACTAATTGTAATGGAGATTTTTCCTCACTGGTTGCTTGTGTTTAAATTATAAATGTTAATAATTTTTCTACATTTCTGTTACAGTGATGAGCAACAGAAGGATTACTTACTTGAAAGGAGAGATTTGGCAATTGATTTTATTTTCTCTTTAGTACTTATAGAAGTTTTAAAACAGGTACAGTATGTGTCTGTTTTTTTACTTTAAATTTTATGTATCCTGATTTTTCCTCTTTACATACTGTGCGTTTGTCCTTTTATTTAAGTGATTTCTTTGTGCAAAATAGAAATTGCTTCAGTAATTTTATGAGAAGGCCTTCAACAGATTGAGTTTAATTTAGGCAAGATTTGCAATTGTACCTAATCCACATATTGTGGTTTATAGACAAGAGACCTGCAAAAATATATTTTCTTTCTTGCCTGTGAAACTTCATCAAACAAACACAAGCTGTAGTTAGACTTTTTCCATTGGGTGTATTCTGGTTTCTCATTTCTGGTGCCAAGAGCTTGGATACCCTGTTTAAGATTCATGTTTCTGCTCTTAGCTACTTGGAATTATTCATTGCCTCTGGTTTAGTAGCATTAATGTTTGTAGGTCGAAGTTTATTGATTTAGACTTAGTTTCCAAAACAGGAAATCATCTTGAAGTATCTAATAAAGTTTTAAAAGCCAAAATGTAACTCATTTTTTTCATGGCAATACACTATATCTTTGTTTTGATTAGGACTTATTATTGTATAATTTTTTATTCTCTTTAAAAATCCTGTTATAACTGACTGTTTTTTCTTATCAATGATTAGATTCCACTTCATCCCTTACTGGATGGTTTGATCCATGAAGTTATTAACTTGGCATTCAAGCACTTTAAATACAAAGAAGGGTAATACACCATTTTATTGATTTTAATTCAGACTTTCGGCTTTATGCGATTGAATCGTAAGTAATGTTTCTTTCTGTTTTTAGGTACCTCGGTCCTAACACTGGAAACATGCACATTGTAGCAGATCTATATGCAGAAGTAATTGGAGTCTTAGCCCAGTCTAAGTAAGTTGTATAATATAGTATAATAATTAAATGTTCAACTGATAGGAAGGATTTTTTTATCTAGGTATTAAAGTGGGAGATTACAGATTTTTGTATTGGAAAGAACAGTGAAAAATGGAGCTCAACCATTTGGTTAATTTACTTAAAAAGTCTTTGTCTTTAAAAGGTTCTGTTTCTTTAATTATGCTCTTATGAAAAGATCTAATTCATCATGTGTTTTAGTTGTTACTTGGGAAATACAGTCAATTCCACGATTAGCATGAATGATACATACTGTAAGTTGGGTTTTTTTCTCTTTTCACACATACTGTACATATTTAATTTTGATGGTGCATTTTGATGTTCATTACAAAATCATGATGAGCTTTGTTTGGTGATTCTGGATGTTTACATATTTGAATTATAACAAAATCAATTGTTCATGGTAATGAACTAGAAAGAGGTGCGAATGAAAGATTGAGGTTGAACTGGGACTATAAGTAAATTATGAGAGGTTTGTTTTGGATGAGTCCTTCTCTTTCCATAATAGGAATGGAAATTGGTTTCTGTTTATGTGAAGTTTCCAGATTCCCCCAGCATTGTGTGAATCCTTAAAATAGAGACCTGGTTGGTTAGCATCCTGCATACCAGTACTCTTCAACAATATCTGTTTTGTTCAGTGCCAAAATCATTTCTTAGCTAGGATGAACTTTTTTGTTGCTTGTCATTCTGATGAAATCAGATGAAATAGGGTGTATTAGGAGCTGACATCTTGGTAGATTATAGAAAGTACTAAGCCCATTTTTAACCATTTCATCTGCTTCTTCCTTTTAAAAAATGTGGAAATGATAATCCTTTTTTTCCATCTTATTGTTCTTTGTAAGATTAAGAATCGTCACTTCCAATTTCTTTAACAATCACTGAAATATTAATAGCTCGTAATCGGTCCTACAAGAAGGATTCAGATTTAGATGTTTTGCTTGTTAGATATGATACCATATGGAACACAAAAATGGAGGCCTTTAAAAGTGGGGGTCTTACACCCTTCGTTGTGGCCTACAGTACATGAGGATCAGGCTTAGTTTCCCCGTTTCGGTCTGACTATTGAAATCATCTTTGTCTTTTTGGTGTAGGAAAAGAATGTACTGGGACAGTCAAACATTAGATCCTGGGATGACTTTAGTTTCTCTTGATTGCATACTGCTGAGTACTAACAGTATTTGCATTATTATCCGAAATGCATCAGATCCCCCAGAGATGAAGCAAGAAAATTAAAAGTGGTTTCTATTTATAGCATATGCAACAGCCTGTCCAGCAGAATTAATTTTTACACTCCTGGAGTAATTAGCTTTCACATTCTATGAAACAGATGCCCCCAAAGCTTGATAGAACTGACACAGGAGCCGAAGCAAGTGCTATGTCTATGAATCCCCCTACACAGATGGTTATTGGTTATGAGGTCTGGAGGAGCACCATAGTGAAGGCAGGCTTAATTCTCCCAGGCTCAGTACTAAGCCCCACAAACAGCACAAACATCCTGCAATAAATAGGAAAAAGAGGGACAAAGTCACCCTGTTTTGAACTTCTGCCAAATGCTATTCTAAATATAGGAACACTGAAAAATTCCATCTTAATATCAATTCCGCTGGATGATTTCAGGATTCCACTGCTATCGGTAGCTGGGACTTTAATCAAAAGCCAAAAAGCAGAGCACATTTTAAAGGATTCAGCTGTAGCTTTTGCTATAATGCTTACATTCGAACATTATCTTCCATAATAAAACTCTAACCTGTGAAACAAGTCATGAAACAGCAGTTCCATGTCACTCCTGTTATTATCAGTGGTTGACTGCAATTTTTTTCCTGTTGTTAAAGAAAATAGATCATCCAAGCACAATAGTTGTGTAGAAATTGTAAAATATCGAAAACATTTTTGATTTGTTTTATTTTGGATATATATCCAGTCCATCCACGGAGCTTTAATACACTTGAACACTGGATTTAGATTTTGTCTCCTCTTCTAGTTCCATGCTTCACAAAAGAAATCTTGTGGAAGCTATTGTTCACTAATTGGACATTGTGTTTTCCCTCAGGTTCCCTGCTGTGAGGAAGAAATTCATGGCTGAGTTGAAAGAGCTTCGTCAGAAAGAACAGAGTCCGTATGTAGTTCAAAGCACTATTAGTCTAATAATGGGAGTCAAATTCTTCCGCATTAAGATGTACCCTGTGGAGGACTTTGAAGCTTCATTTCAGTTTATGCAGGTAAATCCCTCTAAGCACTGATGTCTTTCATGTGGAATAACACAAATCTACTGAATAAAGACTGCATTTGGTTTCAGTGTTAACCTCACTTAAACTCTTTCATTTTTACTCATCCCTTTAAGTTAAGATCTAGATCTTTGAAATTGAGATCTCTTTAATTTGATACAGTATGACAGACACTGAGAACGTGCATCATAGTGGTAGCACTGGATCCAGAGTTGGGCTTTTAAAATAAGCAAGAACGTATTATTTAACGAGCAGATCTGGAACATAGCCTGTAGTCAAAGTAAAGTTAACAGGTTATGTGAAACAACAGCATATTATAGAGCACATAAATATTGCCTATAGCACTGACTGATCTTTTAGACAGAAAGATAATAATTACTATAGTTATTTGTTACTCTGTTTTTGAAGCATTTGCATGTAGCTCACTAATCAGGTTCTTTGAAAATGCTTGAAATGCTGTATTGTACAATGCATGATTATAAAGAAGACCTGTTTTAATGCACTGGAGTTTGTTTTCATTCTAAAGTAGCAGTTGTGATGTTCCTTTTTTAATGACAGGAATGTGCCCAGTATTTCCTTGAAGTAAAGGACAAAGACATTAAGCATGCCCTGGCTGGACTGTTTGTAGAAATCTTAGTTCCAGTAGCTGCGGTGAGCAATTTTCCTTAAACATTTCTGTTACAACTGAACCATACAACTGGAAATAACTCTTCTCCTTTATTTGTGATGTACCTGCAGTGTATACCAGCCTGACTTAAATCTTATTGTGAATCCTATCTTTTGCTTTTAACTCTCTCACATATTTTCTAGTTTCTTGTTTTCTAGTTTTGTAAGGCTTTATTATGTTATTATATTTATTAGCCTGTTTTTCATGGGTGCTGCCTCCTCACACTGTTTTTAAACTTTCAGGCAGTCAAAAACGAAGTAAACGTCCCCTGTCTTAGGAACTTTGTTGAGAGTCTGTATGACACAACACTGGATCTGTCCTCAAGGAAGAAACACTCACTAGTAAGTAACTTGGAAATACTTGTGAACTAGACCCATTTTATGTCTAAATATCGTACCCTGTAAATTATTATAGATATAACCCTGTAAATTATTATAGATATAGATTCAGTTTTCCAATACTGGCACTCCTACCCTAATAATAATTCTGTGGATGGTGTTTTGTTAAGGATGTTTTGGAAAAGATCTGTCCTGTTTCTCTTGTTCTGCAAGATAGAGGAACATCTGTTCCAGGCATATCTTAAACAAATAAGACCTAGTTAGCTCTAGTTATGCTGGCTACATTACTTAACCACATTCACCTTACTTAGACCTCAGAAATGTTTCAGCTGTCTGTTCTTGCTACAGTATGTGTTTTGTTAATGACTTTTCTAAACACTAAAGCTGGGATCTGTAAAATCGTCTTATGCTCGAGCTTCATGGCTAAAAACTTATATGGCAAAAGGAAACACTAAAAAAGAAGCAAATCAATGACAGCAAAATGACAAAGATAATGATTCGATTTGAAACTATCAGCACTCTTTAAAATGTAAAGTATATCTAAATATATAAAAAGCACTCTTTGTACCATTAATCCATATCAGAATTCTACCATAGGCAGAATTTAAACTAAAGAATAACACAGTTTTATTTATAAGTGCTTCTCAAAAAACTCAAAGCACTGAACGGTGGTGCCACAAATTGCACATAACACATGAGTAAAATGTGAAAGACAGAAATGCACAATAGATTGACCCAGTTAAACCAAGAGTTAGGCTAAATTAGATATTAAAAGTTTAGAAAATGTTAACAGTCGCAGAGTCTCTAATGGATTTAAACCGTGAGGTCCACATGGTTTCCAGCTCAGGGAGCCCAGTGAACCAGGACTGCCAGCAGAGGCTAACATTCATTTGTATTAAAAACTAAGCTTTCAAAAGACGTAACATGTCTGCAGAAAACTATTTTTAGACCAGTATGTTAAGTGTTGAATGACTGCTGAACCACCGCCCATTCCAGAGCTATGACATATTTCAACATAGCCATATCCTGGATAGTGGGACTATTGCCAGTCAACAGTAATTGGTAATCATTTGGTTAGTGTTGCGTTTCAGTTAGACAGGAGAAATCCACATTTTACATAATAATAAACTTACCGGGGCCTTGTTTTTTAACAATTAGATATTAAAGAGGGCAAATTGCGATCTTTTACGAAAGACAGCTTAGCTTTAGTGACAGCACACGTTGCAGTTTTGAAAAGATAGGCTAGATAGCCACTATCAATGCCACAGCTTTGCATATCAACATTGAAGGGGGCACATTTGCAACTAATTGCCATAGGTATTACTTTAAACCAAACTTCTTCTTGAACACATATGGATAATATGGATGTCTGTACAGAGTTCACACACTACGGCAATGATCATCTAGTCCACTCTCTTCAGTGACAAAGGGATGTGAGGGGGTGTATACCCAATCATCTTAAACAGAATAAGAAACTGATTATTGAACCAAACACAGTATAAATCTTTAAAAATACTGCCAGTACCTTGAAGTCTCACAGCCAGTCCATATCCAACACACAGAAACCTCTGCAGTCATCTAGAATCAGCAGCAAAGACAGAGACTGAAAGAAGCCAACCCTGTTAACAGTAGTAGCACTGGCAAAAACAGTAGCTATCCCCGGCTGGATTAATACACTCCACCATAGACCCTTGCAGCAGGCAGAAGGTATTTGCAGCACCAAGGCAGTGACGCAAACTTTGATGTGGACTGCAGCAATATCAGAATCCAATAGTGCTAAGTATGGAGACAATTGACAGTCTTAACTAGACTGGGCTAATCATACCAGAACATAGAGATCTGCAGTTAACCAAGAATATCCATTCCAGAATAGATATCTCCAGTAAACTATGAATATCCAATCCAGAATAGAAATATCCGGTAAACTATAAATGTCTATTCCAAAATAGTAATCTGCAGTATCCATGAATGTCTATTCCAGATCAGATCTGCAGTAAACCATGAATTTCCAATCCAGGATAGAAATCTGCAGTAAACTATAAATGTCTATTCCAGAATAGTAATCTGCAGTATCCATGAATTTCTATTCCAGAGAAGATCTGCAGTAAACCATGAATCTCCAATCCATAATAGAAATCTGCAGTAAACTATAAATATCTATTCCAGAATAGTGATCTGCAGTAAACCATGACTATCTGTTCCAGAGTAGATCTGCAGTAAATCATGAATATTCATTCCAGAATAGAGAACACATTAAACCATGCCAAAATCAGTGAATCAGACAAGAATAGAAAGGTGAAGAAAAGTCCCAGCTGATCAGGTTGTGTAAAGAAATAATTCTCTGGAAAAGGCTGAACTTCCAGAAAGACACCTACATAATAAAAAATGAGTTGGTGAAACACTAAATAAAAATACTAGTGAAAAAATAAAAACTACTGATGAAGTGCATGTATAAAAAGTATAATAGACAATGCTGTTTTCTCTTTTTGCTGAAAAGACATGATGCTCTGTGACACGTGATATAGGAATGGTATGGAATCATAATCTGGGGTTGACTTTTCACCCAAACATTATGTTTTTTGTTTTCTTTTGACACATGAGCTTTTAGGAAGACAATGACGGATTTCAGTTTTCTGACCTTTTCATTTCCTGTCTGTCCCCAGGCATTGTACCCATTGGTGACATGTCTCCTCTGTGTCAGCCAGAAACAGTTCTTTCTCAACAGATGGCATGTTTTTCTGAACACCTGCCTGTCTAATCTCAAGGTAAATACTGTCAAGGTAAAAAGTATTAACTCCATGTTTGGTGAAAGAGAGAATCGTACAACAAATACAGTTTGTATACCAGAAACGTTTCTTGAGGAAAAATGAACAAGAGGATTTTCTGTGTGTTTCCTTCCATTTCACAATACCTGTAGTGAGTCTCTAGACATTACCTGCGGTGATGTCTTACTCACTTCATCCTGTTAAGCTATGTTTTGATACATAACATTATTGATAGAGCTACAGTTATATTTAAGGACTCCTCTTCTTATGTGCCTTATAACTGTGACTCATCCGTTTTAATGTTACTCAAAACGATTCAGGTTGTTCAACATCAGTGCTGTACATCCTTTAAATATAATGATGTCTCGTGAGGTCTCAGTATTTATGAACTCGAGCTAGTATATACTAGACAGTATTATGTTTTTTATAAAGCAAAGCACTGAGGTGTTGAGCAGGATTATTGGAGCTGTGTGAAATGTTTTTGTGTTTTTGAAGAATAGAGAAACTTTAAGTGGACAACTTATATTTTCATTCGAGTTGTTTATTTGCCTTCACTATGATTCATCATAGCTTGAGGGAATAACCATCTTCCTCAATAAAATCAAACTGGCGTGGTAGAGTGTTCAAGAATGTGGTCTGACAGGACTATTGAGGACATTATGATTTATTTGCAGTAACTATTTTTTTTTTAGTTTATGTGGTGCTTTATCAGATTACCTTAATGAAAGTAATGTTTTTGTATTTCAGAGTATATTTGCCTTAGAGCTATTGTTCTTCTTTAATGGTAGTTCTGTTCTTTACGTGTAGAATTTTCTTTTCACATGCAAGAGGAAAAGCAGAAATACAGAAATAAAAATATTTTCTGCGCTTGGACTATTTGCGGTACTATTTTGGAATTATTACCGTTGCAAAAGATTTTAACCTGAATGGTATTTGCATTTTTCTCCCTAAATTAGTTTTTACTATGAGAGGTGAAAATAATGAACTCATTAAGTCTTGTTGAGTGTGTTAAAAATCCAACTTTTAACTATGTTTGCAGAATAAGGATCTCAAAATGGCCCGTGTTGCTCTGGAATCACTATACAGACTGCTGTGGGTTTATATGATCAGAATCAAATGTGAAAGCAATACTGCAACACAGAGGTAAATCCTTTTTTTCCAAATGTATAATCACCTGTGTCACATTGACCATGTAGCTCCTTTATGTTTAAATTAATTTCACCGTGGAGCCAAACTTTTACGTACAGTACCAAAATATTAAACTTTGCCAGAAGATATGTTCCTACAGAGGTTCCGTTTTTTTACTTTTCGGGTTTCCTTGTTTATGAAATTGCTTCATGCCATGTTATTCTTTTTCTTTTGTTATTTGAAAACAAATACAATCTTTGGCCAAGCTCTCAGTGCATTTGTGTCTTAATGCATTGTTATTTCTGTATTTTTTTGTTTTAAAATTCTTAAATAAGTACATGTTCTACTTGTTAGTGGATATCAATATGGCTGGCCACATTTTGGAGGCAAAGCTCTCCCATTAGAAATATGAGGAACATTACTGCCGTATTTCATTGTGAGATAAAAGCAGAAAGTGTTTACATGTGTGATCAGTAACAGAACATTACAGTTGCATAGATACAAAGGCCCAACTGCTTGGGGACTACCAAAAGCTTAAAGACAGGAACATGAAACCGATTTTAAGGCAGTGATAAACACTTAGTGAAGAAATAAATCTGTTTTCTTGAATCTGAGCCCAGTATTAATTAAGGTGCCCTGACGTCTAGTCAAAAGTCTGAAAATCAGCAAGGTTGTTATTTTAAAGCCTCTTTTTTCTGTTTAAATTCTCATTTAAAATAAAGTATGGTGACTATATACTCACATAGTGGTTTTAAATTACAACTTGATATCGAGGAAGCCTTATTATGTTAAGATACATGCATCAAAAATAAATAGTTCCCAGATTTGAAGTGTCATATTATTGACAATAAAGACCATTTGGGTGCTAAAAATATTCCTTTCCCTGTACATGTGCATGAGTTATTTTTGATGAAGAAATCTGACAAGGGGACAGTCTTTGTATGGGAACACACTGTTTTAAGGCTTGAAGTTCAAAAGAGAGTAAAAGTCTAAATGTGTAGTGCACTGTACTGAATATAGATTGATGGAAGTCAGTTTAATAGACAATGACCCAGTTCTCTACATCAATAATTTACTTCTGCTGTAGAGTTTGCAGAGTGGTCCAGCAACAAACAGCCCTTGTAAGGGATTTCT